TTTTTTTTTTTTTTTTTTTTTATTTTGTTTTCTCTCTAAAAATGTAACCGAACTTAAGAAAAAAAATTAACAACAAGAAAAATAGTCAAGTAATAATAATAACATTAATAATATAATAATAATAATTGGGTAATAATTAGATAATAATAATTATTATAATAATAATGTAATAATAATAATAATAATAATAATGNAATAATAATAATAATAATAATAATAATAATATAATAATAATAATAATAATAATAATAATAATAATAATAATAATCTTAATAACCTTAATAATAAACGTGGAAAAAAATAACGCGAATGAAAAAAAAAATTCTTCAAAGAACAAAAACTTTGCAAATTGAAATTAAATAATCGAAAAAATTGAATACTCTTCATTCAAATTGAAATACTTTTAATCTCTCGATTCACTTTTTTCTCACTTTTTCTCCTTTCTTTCTTTTTTCTTTTTTTCCTTTTTTTTTTTTTTTAACTTAATCCCTGGTAGAAACGATTATAACGCATCGCGATATAATACTTTTTTGCTTTTTTCCTTTTTTTTGTATTTACGTATGATTCTGTCGCTGCTACGTTTTCATCACGCGTCGATTGCACTGTAATTTTTTACTTTCATCTCTTCATTGTTAAACGTAACCGGAGGGAAGAGGGGGGGAAGGGAGGAGAAAAAAAGGAAACGATTAAAAACGATTATAATAAAATAATGTTGAAATAAAATTCATAAAAGAGGGATACGGGGAGAATTTAAATACTAGTACGGTAGATATATCGATTAACATTCCTATCTATCTATTTATCTATTTATATAAATTGTATTTTATATATATATAANAAGGAGCTTCGACAAAGTGTAAAAACGTGTAAGAACGACGAAAGACTTTGTTACCGACGGTGGGTCCTTCGCGCGGCACGCGGGAAATTCAAATCGATCGAACGATCGATCGTTCGTAATTAATCCCGATCAATCATAAAATATATATTTCACGAAACTTATCACCTATAAAGAAATAACTACTTGGAAACAGAGCACGTGATCGAAAAAAATATAATAATGAAATAGAACTTTTTTTTACATTGGATTCGTTTCACGAGCAGCGATCAATATATAAAACGATACTTTGTTTTTCGTGTCACCTTTTCGTGCCATCATTCGTATTAAATCTCTCTCTCTCTCTTTCTCTATTTCTCTCTAACTATCCTTCTTTCTATCTATCTTCTGTTCTCTTTCTCCTGTTTTTCTCTTTCTTTTTTTTTCCCCCTTTTGATCTGCTTTGATCTAGCACGCACATCCTTCCTCTAAAAAATTCCATTACTTCTTTAATTAAATATAATTTTTCTCATATATATTTGTCATATACATTTGTCGTAATGTTAGTTACTTAAATGGCGTTTACCCGCCTAAGAGTGTGTTGATTTTCGGCGTTTCCTTTCGCGGAATGGAGAGAGAACGTAAAAGTAATAAAAAAAAAAAAAAAAAAAAAGGAGAGAAAAAAAAAGAAATATCGATGAAAAAATTCATCTCGAAATTGGAGAGTCGCCGGAAACCACATTGTAAGGCTTCGTTCCTTCCTTTCGAAGGAGATATTTATTTTTTTTCTTTTTTTTCCCCTCTTTATGTATATATTTATATATTTATATAATATGTGTAATATATATATATATGTATGTATCGTTTCGTCGTTTCATTTACGATCGAATCCTGTTCTATAATCAATATTTCGCTGTTTTCTCTCACTCTCGCGTCGTTCGTTTTCCCTCCTTCGACTTATGTATATATTTATATATATATATATATATTATTATT